TAGAATGCAGTGAGTTGAAGCTCCGATTTGGTCTCTTGTGGAGCCGCATATTAAACGTGGTGTGTTCAGGAACCGTTGGTAATCTGATGATTGATTTAGAGTTCCTGGCAGATAAAACTCGGTTCAGAGTGTTAACCAGCACGATAATTCTTCACTATTGATCCCGTTAGCATTGATTAGCTGCAGCTGCTATCATTCTAACAGTCATCAGATCAACAGGAGACAATAAACTGAAAATGGAACCAGCTGCCAGAGTGCAGCTTCCTTTCTTTCTTCCTTTCTTCTCCGGCCGGTCCGTCGCTCTCCAACACCTTCTTCAGTCGACGAATGAGCGGCGTGATGGCGAGGAGCAACGCCAGCGCCGAGGCTTGAGTGTCTGCTTCACATTACTGAGCCTCGGGGAGACGTTCTGCTCCTCTGGAGGTTCATGACTCACATCCAGCATCAAACGGCAGATCAACTGGCGTTCCCTCCTTCCGCTCCACGCTCGGCTCTTGCGGTCGTCGTCTCCCACCAGCCGCAGCTTTATTGTGCGACGCTCGGATCTAATCCCCGTGTGAACGTCTTACCCACGATGCCGCGCTGCCCCCCCTCCTCCCCCCGACATGAAAGCCACGGGACGGGTTCGCCGGAGATCACGGCAGTCGAAACAACAGAATTATTGGTGTTGCGGTTGCGGCTTCGCGAGGAAGACATTAGAGCTGAAGAAGTCGTCTGTCCGCCGCTTTTCAAGTTCACATCTGATTACGAGACGGTCGAGTCAAACTGAGACATCCAGCGAGTCAACGAGGAGACAGGAGGGCAGGCGGGGAGGAAGAGGTGAGCGAGAGCAGCAGCAGCAGCAAATCAGCCTGCTGGCAGATGAATGAACATCGTAGATAACTGAAGAAACAGGACGAGCTGCAGCTGCGCTCCGTCGGTTTGTCTCTAACTGTCACACAGCTCCATCCCCAACCGCACCCCTCGGACCGGCGCCCACGTCACCGCCTTGAGCCGCAAAGGGTTGTGGTCGCTCTGCAGCCTTCTGTGGTCGTTCTTCAGTTCGTGGACTGTAGTGCAACCTTGGTTGTCGGGTTGAACCTTTTCGTGCCACATTCTGGTTGTTTCAGAACGTTTCCTGCTCGGTTTGCATCTTTTCATGGTCGTTTGCGCCACATTTCGGTTGTTTTACATCCTCAGTTGCGACTGTTTTACAACCTTTTGTGGTCATTTGCTACCATTTGTTTTGGTCTTTCAACTCTTTCAGGTTGTTTCCAGTCACATTTTGGTTGTTTTGGGACTTTTTGTGGTGTCTCATTTCACGTTTTTGTGGTAATTTGCATCACGTTCTGGTTGGTTGGGTTTTTTGATACCTTTTTGTCGTCATTTAATACGACGTGTGGTCGTCGTTCAGCTGTTTTTGGTTGCTCTATGTCACATTTTGGTTCGTTTACATTTTTTTGTATTAGCTTTGCAACTTTTTGTGTTAGTTTTACTTTTTTTTGTATTAGCTTTGCATCTTTTTGTGTTAGTTTTACTTTTTTTTGTGTTAGTTTTACATTTTTTTGTGTTAGTTTTACATTTTTTTGTGTTAGTTTTGCATCTTTTTGTGTTAGTTTTACATTTTTTTGTGTTAGTTTTACGTCACATTCTGCTTGTTTTATGTCCCTGTCAGTGTCATCATTTTGTGGTTATGTTACATCTTTTTTGGCCAGCTGCTGCTTGTTTCCCAGTTTCTAGTGTCCCACCATCGTGGTTCATTGCGTCTCTACTGGCAGCATGTTTTGCGGGCACACACGTTTGTGTCATCATAAGAAGTCTTCTTTTCTTCATAGAAGAGCTAATAAAAGAACCGAGTCAGATGGTGGGAGACGTGGATAGATTTGGTCGGCATGAGTCGTTTGGGATGACCTCCATCGGGCCTTTAAAGCCTCACTCTGACACCAGAGGTGATTCAGACCACTTTGGTCCTCTGTACCGCCGTGGCGCCAGATGAACGGTTGGGATGAGTTGTCTGACTCGTCCGGTTCCCAGACTGTACATGTGTGATGGTGAGATAACAGAGAGTTCAGGGCACGACTGTGGACAGGACGAAGGCATCAAAGACACCGATGAGCGGTGGCCGGGATATTAGAAACTACACTTTGTGTGAACAAAGTAAAGCAAAGAAATGAATGCTTGTGATTAAAGTTTGCTCAGAGCGACAGTGTGCTGCAGACACAGAACCCAGGATGGGCTCCGGTTCTGTGAGGACCAGCTGAAGCTGCAGCAGCGGCCCAAAACACAACAGAAGCTGACCGTTCAACAAGCCAGAGGTCAAAGTTGGCAAAACTTTCCCTGACTCTAAGTGTTTTCAGAGTCCTCAGAAGTTCCCCACCTGGTGGACAAAGCAGATCTGCGTCGCATCCATCGGGTAGAACACCAAAGTGTGGGACGTGATGGACTCCACCGACAGAAAATAGTTTCCTGCCCTCAGTGAGGTTTTAGTCGGTGCCAGGGACAATCCCCAGGCACTTCATGTCATGTTATTGATCAGCTATTGGGTGACCACGCTGCTGATTATCAGTGAAGAAAAGCCATTCAAGGCTTACCTGGTCTACCTGGTGTTGAGTGACGTCCCTCCTCATGGTTCTGCCATCAGGGCCAAGAAACAGGATGACGGAGTCCCACAGGAGTTTAGGACACGTCAATACGAGTGTTGTGTCCCGCGAGGTCGTTCTGGGTCACTTTGGGGGTACTTTGTGTCTTTGTGTGGGTATTGTGTGTCTTTTAGTGTTCTGTTTTTGTCTCTATGTGTCTCTATGTGGTTGTTTTGCATCTTTTGTGATTGTTTGGTGTCTCTGAAAGGTCGCTCTGTAGATCATTTCTGTCTCTTTGTGGTCGTTTTGTGTCTTTTAGGGCTGATTTTGTCTTCTTGATTTGTGTCTTTGAGGTGCTTTTCTGTGATTTTGTGTGTCCTCTGGGACATTTTGTGTCCCTTTGTTGTCTTTTTGTGGTTGTTTTGCGTTGCTTTGTGCACGTTTTGCGTCTCTTATGGCTGTTTTATTTTCGGCAGTGTCCCTGAGAGGTCGCTCTGTAGATCATTTCTGTCTCTTTGTGGTTGTTTTGTGAGTTTGTGACGTGCAGACAGGACGACCAGCTCTGACAGCAGCTGTGTCTTTGGTCACGCAGCGTTTATCAGGTCGATCAGTCGCACAGCGTTCGTGCTGCGTCGCTTTGCTGAAGTAGGACTGAGGTGATCATCACACACGGACTCAGTTTTCCCTCTTTAGGAACCCCGACAGCTTCTTCTGTGACGCTGACCCACGCAGCAGCTCCGAGGCCGCAGGGCTGTGAGTGGGCGGAACATGTGGCCAGCAGCCAGCAGGGGGCAGAAGCCGGCCCGCCGCGACCCCGCCGCCTCCCCCCAGGACCGCTGAACGTCCCATCGCCGTCCCCGTGTGGACTGCGTTACCCACAACTCCCCGAGGCGGCGGATGAAAGCGGGGCGGCGGTCGGAGCAGTGTGACTGAAGGGTTAGCGGTCTGGATGTGGTCGCTGCCGAGGCTCTGCTCCGGGATGTACGACAGCCGCTGTTGTCCTCCTTTCATGTGGCCAAGAGTTTTTATTACAGGCAATTGTGAGAGAGGAGGAGGAGGAGGAGGAGGAGGAGGAGGAGGAGGACTGGAGGGAGCGAAGGATTTAGGAGTGAAAATATGTTTAAGAAGAAGAGACGGCTTCCTCAGGTTTCCTCTGCATGCTTCGGGTTATTAAAGGTGTTTTAAAACTCACGTGGGACTCCGTCATCTCGCCTCCAACGCTCAGAGCCTCTGATTTAATTAGAGCAGACCTCATATCTACCTGCTGGGAAGGATCAACTTAATAATTGAATCCCCAAAGTCAACAGCGCAAAGTCAGCCTCTCAACTTCCCGACTCAACTTCTACAAGTCAGATTCAGTCCAAACGGAGTTTCGGTTCTTCGCAGAACATCCAGGAAACGCGTGAACGCTTGAGACAAAGAGCAGATTCAGATTCCAGAGCCATTCCAGAACCACCAGCTCCAGCAGCAGCTCCTGAACGGGTTCCTTCACTGAGGTTCAACATCAAGTCCTGCAGCTCTGAGGAACCAGAACATGAAGAGGAGAGAGAACTTCTTCTGTCAGCAGGACTGTGAACGACACAAATCAGGAAAACGTTAAATTACAGTGATTATTTATTAAAAAAAACACAACAACTCGATATGTATAAAATCCTTCCAGGTGCCTTTAGTGTCAGCGTAGAGCATTCATTAGCCCCGACGCAGTGGGACCGAAATGTGACGCAATATATATATAACATATAATATAATATAATAACAATGAAAAAGATGAAACGCGACCACAAAAAGCAGCAGAGTGAGTAGAAAAAGTCCCAAAGTGACCAAAACGTGACACAATCCCACCGCAAACCTCACAAAGCGATGAGAAGCAGCCGGAACGCGATCACAAAACGGTGAAGTGACCAAAACGTGACGCAACAAACCGACGGAAAGACAAAATCCAACCACACAGAGTCTGGAAGTGATGACAACGTGAAGGACCACGTTGTACCTGTTTGTTTGTTGAGTCGACGCTGAAGCACGTCCACAGATGAGGTGCTGAGTCTGACGCTGGGTTTGTGTTTCAGGCCTTCAGAACCAGAGACGGATTCCTTGTGGTGGGAGCAGGAAACAACCAGCAGTTTGTCAGAGTGTGCCAGGTGAGTAGAACCTTCCTGTCCGGGTCGGTGTGTTTGTGTCTTTGTCGTCACTTTGTCTGTCTTGTGGTCATTTGGTGGTCGTTGGCAATTCTGTGCTCTTTGTGGTTGTTTTGTGTCCTTTGTGTTCATTTTGTGGTTGTTTTATGTGTGTTTCTGACCATCTCTGTGTCCTTGTTCTCATTTTGTGCCTCTTTGTGGTATTTTTCTCTTTTTTGTGTTCTTGTGTGGTCATTTTGTGCTCTGAGTTTTGACTCAGAAGTCAGCTTCTGGGTCTTTATCCCAAAAGTCAAGCAGACAAACCCTGTTGTTGTTGTTGTTGTTGTTGTTGTTGTGTCTGTCTGCAGGTTCTGGAGCTGCCGGAGCTCGCAGAGGAGCCAAAATACAAAACCAACAATCTGAGAGTCCAGAACCGCCAACAGCTGCTGGACACGCTGTCCAACAGGTACGCACTGACTCCATGTTCTCTGCTGACACGTCGATGCATCGATTCAGCAACTCATCGCCTACACTCTGCCCACGTCGGCTAGCTGTGTGCTGCTAACGTCGGCTAGCCGTGTGCTACTAACGTCAGCTAGCCGTGTTCTGCTAACATCGGCTAGCTGTGCGCTGCTAATGTCGGCTAGCTGTGTACTGCTAATATCGGCTAGCTGTGCGCTGCTAGCATCGGCTAGCTGTGCACTGCTAACATCAGCTAGCTGTGCGCTGCTAACGCCGGCTAGCTGTGCACTACTAACATCAGCTAGCTGTGCGCTGCTAACGCCGGCTAGCTGTGCGCTGCTAACGTCGGCTAGTCGTGCGCTGTTAACATCGGCTAGCTGTGTACTGCTAACGTTGGCTAGCTGTGCACAGCTAGCATCAGCTAGCCGTGTGCTGCTAACATTGGCTAGCTGTGGTGAGAAACAGATCTGCTGCACGGAAGCAGTTTGTATTTGTTGAGAAATGTCTTGTTTTGAAGTGGATTAAAAGGCATGTGGGTCAAATCCTGCCCACCGTGGCTCGAACCAACGCAGAATGACTCTGAAAGACATTAATGCATCTGCAGTGGCTCATTCGAATGGACAGAACCACTCATGAAACGCCTGAAGTGACTCGGTGGACGACCACTAAATGTCAAACACGAGTCAGAACCTACAGCTACATACATACGGCTCATGAACAGGCCCAAAATGAACCAGATCAATGTCTCAGATGACTCGTAAAATGTCTTAAACGGTTTAAAAACTGGTCGATGAGGAGTAAATATGAATGAGCTCTGACGACACGTTACATGTGGCTCAGAGTTAGTTTCAGCTCTGAGTCGACCAGACTGCCTCGCTGACACCACTTTAAACATCCAGAGTTCACGATACAACCGTGAAAAGGTAACCGCAGGTGGTCGAGCAGGAGGACTGAGCTGAGATTCAATAAACCCTGAGACGTTGTCTTTTGAATGAACTTGGAGCTTTAAACAACAAAAACGACGAGAAAGACGCAGAAAACGACCAGAAACAGACGAAACGTGGCCACAAGACGTCCCAGAAAGACGCAAACTGGCCACAAAGTCCTGATTTATCTTGTTTTTTTTGTTCTGTTGCTCAACAAACCGACCGACCTGGAGTCTGTCTCTGACTACCTTAATTACTTTTCCATCGCCAGGTTTCTGCAGGAGAGCACAGCTGATTGGCTGAAGAGGTTCGAGGGCTCAGGTGTTCCAGTTGGACCAATCAACAGCATCCAGGAAGTGTTCGCTGAGCCGCAGGTCGGTCGCTGTTTCAGTTTTGTTGCTCGTGAACATGTGGCTGGATGTGTTTGATGAACCTGAATGACAGAACGTTTTGGGAAACAGGAGAGGAACGTTGAGAGTCTGGGTCGGTCACTTGGGTTTTATTTCTGCTGTTGGAATCTTAAAGCATGGAGGACCACTGACCTTCAGATCAGCAGATTCTTCAGTTCAGCTGATTTAATCAGAAACCAGGTCCAGTGTTCAGACTGAGACACCTGGATGGATGTAGAACTGGTCTGGTGTCAGGTTCTACCAGAACCCAGATGTTGTCATGCGTCTATCTGCTGTGCTGATGAAGTGGATGAACAAGTGTCCAAAATGTCCTGAAATCTGAATCGTTGCTGAAGACGCTGCTCGTGGACGGCGGTGCAGCCGCTGGGACACATGAATGGCTGGTGCTGGTAGAACCGGGTCCACTCATCAGGCTGTGCATTAGAACACCAGCTAGTCCGTTTGTCTTCAACCGTCCGGACGCCGACGACCCACCGGTACGTTACCGCTCATCAGTCAGGAAGACTGAAACCAAACGGACAAGAATCCGATTCTGCTTCCCAGCTGGCCCTGAACTCATCATGTGTTCCGTCAGAAAATAACAGAATCGTCATCGTTCACTTTGTTGTGTTCCATTTAAACATGACTGAACCCAGACCAGAACATGTTGGGTCCAGGTTTACATCTTGTCCTCTGACCCGTGTCGCTCTGCCACAGAACTTTGCTCGCTCTGCTCCGTTTTGTGCTCCTCATCCATTGTTTAGTTGGAGTTTTGTAGCTTCTGTGATTTTTTTATTTGTGGATCCTTTTCTGGTTGTTTCACGTCTTTTCTTTGTGTGATTTCTGTCGATCCAAAAGCGTCGTCCGGAGACGTTCATGACTTCTTCTTGCTGTCTTGCATATTTTTGTGGTCAGTGTGCTTGTGCATTTTGCTTGTTGTACGTCTCTTGGAGGTCTCGTGGCTTCACGTTTTGGTCACTTCATGACGTTTCGTGGGCATTTGGCGTCTTTTTGTTGTTGTCCTGCGTATTGTTTTAGTTGTGTGAAGTTTCTGTGCCGGACCTGTCTGCTGTCGTCCAGTCGCACATGTTGGCTTCACGTTTTGTTCGCTTTACAACATTTTTGTGACCATTTCACGTCCTGTTGTTGTCGTTTTGAAGCTTTCGTAGAGTCGCTGTGCAGGACGTGTCAGACAGCCGTGGGAACACCTGTGGATGTGTTTCATTTCATTTTTGTACAACGAGTAAGCAAAGACCTTCAACTTGTTCCTCCTCTCTGGTCTCCATCGTCCTGACTTCTCTCTCCTCCTTCATGTTCTGGTTCCTCAGAGCTGCAGGACTTGATGCTGAAACATGAGCCTCAGTGATGGAGCTGCTGCTTGGAGATCAGAGGGTTTTTCATTCAGCTCTTCGTCGCGGCGCCACCGAGCGTTTTTATTCCTCGTTTTGTCGAGCGGTCGGTTTGGTTTCTCTGCTTTGCTTCATTATTGACCCAGATTTTGCCTCTAAATTGCATCGAGCGTCGCTCTTGCAGCAGCTGCAGCGATCCGACTCAGCCGACGACGGAAACCTCAGGATGACGAGATCGTCCTCAGCCGAGCGTTCGTTCCTCGGCTTCCTTCAGCGGCTCCCCTTCAGGCCCGGCGCTCTGCTCAGAGGCACCTCTGGTGACGCGAGACTGCTGACAGCAGCTCTTCACTCTATTTATTTTGCTCCCACAATTGCTTGCATCTCTCCCGCAGTAAATGTTTCCCACATGATGGCTGCAATTAACAAAAAAAAAACCCTCCCTGAGCGTAAATTCAAGCTGCTGCTGGAAGTCTGGTTCAGCTCAGCAGATTGAGTTTCCTTTACACCGAGCATGCTGGGAAATAATCGCTGCCTCTGTGTTTTGCTCGGCATGCATTCATTAGCATCCATTGGCAGGCAGTAAACACACAGAACCACCTCAGATCTCCCGTTTCACCGGCTGTGCATCGCGGCGGCCAGCGAAGCGCCTTTGTTTTGGGGTTTGCATGTTTTCAGAAGTTTCCTGGTTTCCCTCCTGTCGCTGTAGAACATGGATGTTTAAAACAACACACTGTTAGATACAGATGTGTTAAATTACAGACAATATCTAGTAAAACCACAGCGGGTCTAAATGTTGATCTATATGTTGACTGTGAAGTACAGGAGGACTGTAAATGAGTAATGAGTGCTTTTAAATATCTGTCCAATCACACTGTGTCACTGTGTGTGAATCAGCTAAACATGAACAGTTTATGGATTTCTGCTGTTATTTTATAACATACTGAGGATTGAAAAATGGTAAAAATGTTTTAACTTATTTTAAAGATTTTCCATTTGTGTTAAATTCTAGATAATATCTAGTAAATTAACACAAACATGGTACATCTCATCCAGAAGGAGCTGCCAGAACTACAGACAAAGCCTAAATCATACCGTCTCTATTTTTACAATATCAGTATTTTAAATTATTTGTTCCTTTAAGGCTGTTCCAGATGTACTGATACGTACGGACTTTGTTCTGGTTGATCCCAGGTTGTTTTAATCTCCTGAGCTCTGGCTGGAGGTCCTGAACCTCCTCAGAGTCTCTGTCATGGTCCCGTTGCTGCTAAACTCCCACAATGCTCTCCTCTGGTCTCTCCAGAGGCTCCCCCTGGTGGAACAACCAGGTACTGCAGCTGGTCTGCGGTACTGGAAGTGTTATCGAGTGAAATGGTTCGGACTTCAGGCAGATGCTAAAGTTTTACTAAAAAAAACAGGTTCCAAATCATTCGTAAGAGGCTCCACCTGGTGGAGCAGCCAGGTACTACAGCCGTACAACACTCTACATTTGCCCTCTACCACTAAATTTTGGTATTTTATCGTCAAAACAAATAATTGACGAGCCAAAAAACAAAAAAAGACACCAGAAGTGAAAATGAGAACGGTGATTCCTTGCAGCTCCGCTCATAGATCAGCTTGTTGCACTGACACCAAAGATGAAGGTTTGGTTTGTTTGCCAACCTTTCATCCTCATTAAACTCCAGTTTTTCTGTCTTTATTATAACTTTGTGTTGTCTTCCTTCACGGCAGCCAGGCTTTGGTTTATTCACACCCAGATGATTTTGTAAAACGATGCACGTGAACGTCTGCTTGTATATTTCTGTCACCACCTTGCTGTGCTTTTGGGCCTTTCTGGAGCTGTTTAAAAACTCTCCCAATCGGGGGCGGTAACACTTTCTGGGCGCAATCAAAATTAAAAGACTGATGTCATTGTCCTGATATCGATCTCTGCTCTGGAACTGATTTTCCGACAGCAAATCTCTGGACCAGCTTTTCCCAGCGAGCTGCCTGTCCTTGAATGCACCATAAAACCCTCTGCTATGTTCTGGCAGAAAACAGCACATACTGGTACTGTGAGGCCAAAATGGAGCATCCTGGGCTTCGTGATTAAAGGAACCTTTGGTGAATTGTAAGTCTCTGTTGCCTTAAAGCTCGTTTAAACCCTGACTGGAAAAAAGCTCGACAGAAGCACAACTTTCAGTGAGTGGAATAAAACATGTAAAACCAGCAGTATGCCGGTTTTAAAAAGTGAAGCGTGTGTGTGCAGCGTTATAAAGCTGCAGGTTTCCTCCAAACAGCAGCTCTGCAGTGAAGCTGCTGCTAATCAGGACGGTAGGAAGTCACCACTCCAAAACCCAAGTCTGGAAGTCATTTGGAAAAGCTCCCAGCTCTGGTCTCTGCTCGCTGCTGGCTCACAGCTTCTCTTTCTCATCTGTCTTCCTGCTTCTTTGTTTCTGCAGAGCTCCCTGTGCCGTTCTCTGTTCCTCCCGGTTTGAACGTGTTTTAACGTTGCAGAGCTGCTGGCTGCTCAAGTTGTCTTTAAGTGATCCTCAACGCGAACCCCCACGAGTCTTCTGGGTAATGCAACGAAGGCAGAAGTTAATATTCCCACTGTCAGGTTGAATTATTTCACCTGGAGAAGCAGGCCTTCTTCTGACAGCTCCGATACTACACTACCCATGAGCCTTCACTGCCGTTGCTATGGAGAAGAGACAGAACCAGAAAGTGAACCGGTTTAACCCTCTGAACCCCAAACCTGAAAGTTTCCGACAGTCCTTTAACTACTCATCTGTGACACAGCGTCCTGCAAGAAAATGAACCAAATCTCAGCTTAACATTGATCCATTTTGTTTCCATTTGAAAATACTCCAAAAAGGAAGCATTAGCAGCAGATCCAGTGAAGAAAAAATAAAGAACATTTCTGAGCTCAGCTGTGGCCAACAGGTGAACTGCAGCCAGTGTTTCCTCAGAGAGACTGAAGGAGAATCCAACCTGCTGGAAGCTGCCACTGTGAAGCACGGCGGTGGCAGCGTCATGACGTGAAGCACGGCGGTGGCAGCATCATGACGTGAAGCACGGCGGTGGCAGCGTCATGATGAAGCACGGCGGTGGCAGCATCATGACGTGAAGCACGGCGGTGGCAGCATCATGATGAAGCACGGTGGTGGCAGCACCATGATGAAGCACGGCGGTGGCAGCATCATGATGAAGCACGGTGGTGGCAGCGTCATGATGAAGCACGGTGGTAGAAGAGAGGAAAAGTCTGGAAACATGGAGATAGTTCAACATCTGCAGGATGAGGAGGCAACATGAGCTCCAACGTTGGAAACGTCTGTAGAACCATGTTCTGTGACGTGTTGTGGTTATCTTCCTCCTTTATGATGTCGTTCTACTTAACATCAGTTGTCGTTGTTCTGGAACTTTCTGCGCCTGTTATTACAACTTTGTGTCGAATCTTGTGTGTTTGACACCTTATTGTGTCACATGTTGGCGGTTTTGGATCAGGTTAGGGCTACTGGACGGTGTGGTCATTTGGGTTCACGTTTTGTTGGCGCTGGTCCTTTTTTAACTTTCTACAGCTGACGTGCAGAGTAAAGCCAAAGAGTTTGCAGACGTTGCTTTCCGTTTATCGGAGCCCAGGTTGATGATGGCGTCCCG